AGGGGCATTAAATATACTGGTGAAATCACTGTTGCACTATATGCTAGCTAACTTGGATGTAAAATAAAATAAAATAAAATAAAATAAAATAAAATGGAATAGGATATATGAAACAGTGTCATTTATGTGGATTAAAAACGAAAGCACTGAAACCAAAAATCTATGTTCCACAAAAACATTGAGAAGGAAAAAGATACCCTCTCTCCAGAAATTTCTTATGGGGGTGGAGGATGGGACATGAACTTGAGAAAAGGGTATTATTAAAAAGAAATCTATAAGCAAACAAAAGAGGGCCCTGCCGACACCGGCGCTTGTAATTCAGGGGTAGCATTCATTCAATTCCTCGAACGTGAGAGGAGAGACAGACAATTACAGACAGAGAAAGGAGATGAAAACTACCAGGCCTTACATCATCTTCTACGTACCGAGTGCTTACATTCGAGAGCATAGACAAGAAATTTTTTTTTTTTTTTTTTCAGTTGATCATTCCGCTGTTGGAATATTGGAAAAAGTAGCGGGCCACCTTCCATAGTAAGGATTCGAAAAAAAGGGCCATTTTGTCAGGAGTGGGATTCGAACCCACGCCTCCAGGGGAGACTGCGACCTGAACGCAGCGCCTTAGACCGCTCGGCCATCCTGACTCGCTGGAGAGCGAGCTTGCTCCGCATTTATTTGTGTCTCTACCCACACACCAAGCAGTTCCGGATGGGGAGCCCTTCCGGGCAGGAGTGAAACGAGCGCTCCTGCGTGAGCCGCGCGCTGGACGCCGACCCCGGCGTCCCGCGCGCAATAAATAGCACCCGGCTCCGGGCGCGGCCGAGTGGCACCTGCCGTGCGACCGCGGATTCGATTCCAGGCCCCCGGGAGGGGCGGGGCGGGATGCCCGGGGAGAAGGGCGCCCTCCCGCCACAGGGGGCAGAACCCTGCTGAACTCGTGGCACCGTGTCGCTGGAATACGCGCTTTCTCCCCGGAGGTTTTGGGCCGCGGCAGGTGCGCGCAGGCTGCAGCCCTGCCCGCAGGCGCTCGCTAACCCTCCCCCTCCTCCCAGCGGGCGCCGCCCCGGGAAGCGGCGTTAGCGGGCGGGCGAGTGGAGCTTCTCGTTCTGAATTCGTCGAAGTCTCTACACTGAGGATTTGCCGGCTTTACTGTGTGGATGTTCTACTGCGGGGAACAGAAGAAGTTTCTGCATCTAGTAAACCTGGCACAGGGCCCTCGATGCCAGGCCTCTACTGCAGCAAGTTCTCTAAGCACACTTCACGTCTGATGGGACCTACCTCGGGGTTTCTGGTCCAGTGTTAGCGTCGGGATGCTGTGGTCAGGACATCGCCGACGGGGAGTCGGGGAACCTGACCGTGAGTTTCAAACAAAGGACTAGTGAGTCAACTGCCTGGAGGCTTGCGGACAAGTCGTTTGGCCCGTGTTGACCTGAGAAACGGCTTTCCTAACAGTTTCATCTAAGTTCATTTGAAGAAATACAAAGCTTGAGCGCTTAAATGAAGCGTCAAATCCCCGTCCCCAGAGAACCAGGTAGACGCAAGTAATTCTCAGTCTCACCCAGACCTACCGAGTCAGACATTTGGGGGGTAGAGTCCAGGAATCTGTGTGTAACCAGCACTCCAGGGGATCCTGCGATGTGCCCAGGTTTGAGAGTCACTGGCTGGAGGCACAGTAACCCCGCAATTCTTACCAGAGAAACTGCTGTGGCGTGAGCAGGTGCCATGTGAAAGCGCGCGCGTACTGCCAACAGCCTCCCCGCCTCAGACTCATCGAATTGGGGTGCCTGAGAGTTCCACCTGGGGACTGTATTCCTTACGGTTCCCCCTTCACCCCCCGGGTGATTCCAGTGTGCACCCAAGTTCGAGATCATTACTTTAGGATTTAGCTTCCGAAAAAGGCTGAATCCCTTAAGGGTGAGGTGGAGGGGCCGCATTCAGAAAACGTGTTCGGGCCTCCGTGGCACAGGGCTCTGGCCCCAAATATTTGTAAAACGTGGAGTGCCGCCGGCCAGAGCGCGACTCACGGGGGCTGTTCGCAGGCTCCGTGTGTGTGCGTGTCCACCCGCGTGGGATGTCTGAAGGTGGATCGTGGGAGGTGGCCAGAGATGACCATCAGCAAAGGGGGGTTGCCCCCCCCCCCCCCCCGGCACCTGAAACGCCAGGGCCCAGCCTTTGCCAGCGATAAGATGGAAACGATCCAGAGAGCACATTCCAATCCAGTGGTCGGCGTGGTTGCACGTGAGCATTTGGTGAAGACGAATAGATCTGTCCGGGACGCAGATCCGCTTTCCGGGTTCCAGAAGGCCCAGCAACACCCAGGCTCGTCTCTTTTAGGAGATTCAGGAATAAAGCCACAACATCCGCAGACTCGCCGTTTCCTCCAGGCCCCGGTAGCCGGTGCCAGCTGGAAAAAGAGCCTCAAGGCCCATCAGATAAGTTCTTCCTCCAGGGTGTGCTTCATGCAAAGAGGCTGGAGCTGGGGGTGGGGGTGGGGGGGGTGGGGGGAAGGAGGAAGGACACAGACGATTCCTAGGAATCTGCTGTCTGGTTCGCACTGTGCCTCGTGACCGTTTTCCTCGAATGGTCAAGGAAATCATGGATCGTGGGGAGGCCAAGAGTCCTGGGGGGAGGTGAGGAGAGTCAGAGAGCTGATTACAATCTATGGCTGTCTGTCCTTCTAGTCTCAGAGACGGGCTCTTGCGGCAGCGCCGTCTGCTCTCGGTGAGGTTTCACAAATACGTCTCCGGACACACATTATACGTTTACACCAGCAAAGCAACTGCCTGAGGCTCCCACGTATTTTGGAAAGACTCGAGACTTTTTCTTCGACTTTCTGCAGGTATAATTTGAACAAACATGAACACTCGAGTCGTCGCGCTATATGATGTCTTTCTCCCAGGGGTGCCGCGTAGGGTGGCCGGCCTGGGGAGGACAGTGTGGGGTGAGAAGTGTTTGAGGAAGGGGCGTGGAAAGGAGGCACTGGGTGTTGGGGGAATCCACGAGATGGTGGAAGGGGCCCTTTCTGTCTGGTTCTCCAGGTGCCGGCCCTTGGCGCAAGTAGAAGGTGGCACACTTAGTTACTCTTTTTTTCTCCTGACCCTCTTCATGCCTACGAAGCTCCTGAGCCAACGGGTCCCACCTTGATAATATCTCGGAGTCTTTAGTCCTCCTACTCAACTGTAGTTTGTTCAGTATAAGATGTCCTGGACAGATGGCAAGGACACCCGCTTTCAGGTCCTGGCTTAGGCACAGACTGTCTGTTTTAATGAATCACGTTATGTCAGGGCGCCCGGGGGGCTCAGTCGTTGAGCTTCTGACTTTGGCTCAGGTCGTGATCTCACACGCTCTGTGCTCTGTGAGTTTCGAGCCCCACGTCGGGCTCTGTGCTGACAGCTCAGAGCCTGGAGCCTGCTTCAGATTCTGTGTGTCTCTCTCTCTCTTTGACCCTCCCCCTTTCACGCTCGGTCTCTGTCTCATAAATAAACAAACATTAAAAAAAAGAAAGAAAGAAATCACTTTATGTCTCTTGGCTTCAGACTCTCATCTCTGAAAGGAGGCAGATGGAGTTAAGTGTTGACAGTCACTTCTCATGCATTATAGTTTCTTCTTGATCCCTTTCCCAAATACCACCTGTGTGGTCGCCTGATTTACAAGCCTTTATGCGGAATGACTTTACAATAATGCATATGTGGAAATGTCATTATCTAGATATTGTTATGTAGGTCTTGAACCCCAAGTCCGTAGGAAGACACTGAAACCAAAACCATAATCAAAACCTAAATGGAAATGGGGCCTGGGAGGTGACAATCACAAAGGTGAGTGAGAGTTGTTGACAATATCACCTGTCACAATACACAGTGAATGTGATGGTAAGAGACCTGTCTGGTGTTCAGAATTTTCCCCTAAGAGAGAATGCTGGGTTTTAAATTTGCCACAGTCCTCTGTGAGGGTAGTCAGCGGACTGAAAATTTAGAAAAGTTGGATTTTATCTTAATCAAGAGAAATATATGCGGTGCAATAATGGAAATAATATGTTAGTGTGGATATAATCGGGATCTGGATTTCTTGCTTGACCTGTAACGGATCTGACTTTGATGACTCCTTAGCAGAAGACACGCATATTAGGTGATATGCCCACCATTTGGTGAATCCTTTGGAGACTCATGTTCAGAGCTGGTTGAATTGCATTAAGGTCAGACTATGTGTGAAGGAGACCGCTCCCGATCCTTGCTTGCTTGGGGCAACACAGGGGAAAGCGTTCAGCTCACTGAACTACAGATGTCCTCAGGTCCTCAAGTGGGAATCCACAGGGCTTTCCCTCTGGGGGAGTGGTTTTTTCTTTTCTTTTTTCAATGTGTATTTATTTTTGAGAGACAGAGAACAAGCAGGGAAGGGGCAGAGAGGGAACGAGAGAGAGAGAGAGAGAGAGAGAGAGAGAGAAATCCCAAGCAGGCTCCACGCCGCCATCCCAGAGCCCGATGTGGGGCTCGAACTCACGAACCGGGAAAGCGTGACCTGGGCCCAAACCAAGAGTTGGACGCTTAACCGATTGAGCCACCCAGGCACCTCTGAAAGAGGGGTGTCTAAAGATCACCCAAGGTTTTTATTTTTATTTTTCCAATTACTAGGCCCTACAATTCACAATTTCCCCAATATTTCCTCCTCCTGGAAAAGTACTGTTAAAATTTCAAGAGGTGGCTTCACTCACCGACACCCGTAGTCAGTTACCTCTTCAGCAGTCGATACGGGGTCACCACCCACACAGAGGCTGAGGGGAGGCAGCGACTGGCACCCTGGCCTTTCTGTAAGCAGCTAGACCCTCCTGGGACGATAGCCCTTGCGCCCTCGGTGAGCCCACTGCCGTGAGGCCTGCGGTGAGTCTTGGCTACACAGAACCACGCTGCCGCGGCCGGGCAGCTGCACTCGCCGGCGGTTTCTTTCCTGTTTCTGTCTCGGTTCCACTTGTTGGGCTAAAGAAAGTAAGGTAGCAGATGCCGCTTTCGGCAATCAACAGACTTATTTATTAGGTCAAGACCACGGGCGACACCCATGCTGGAAACTGGAAGAACACAACGGAAGTAGAAGGGGCGAGCCCAGATACACCTGCGGTCCGTTGGCGTGACAAGCCCCGAGTATACGGGAAAGCGCAAACACGAGCAGGTGCGGTCAGTCTAGCTGTGTCGAGCGCGATGACACAGCCTCCGGGGACCCCGGGGAGAACGGCACGCAGGAAAGCTGGGCGGGGAGAGTGACCGGTGGCGGGGCGTGGGCATGAGCTGCTTGGGGAGCGGATGGAAGGGGGGGTTTGAGGGGGCTAAACCGGATGTTGGGATGAGGGCTGAGGGGCCCCGAGGCCGACACCGGCTGCTAAAGAGGGGACATCACCGACCAGGGTTTCTAGAAAGGCTCTGAGATGGAGAGATTCTAAGTCAAAAGGAGGAAGAGAGCTGGAAAGTTGTGGGGCCCAGCAAGTGAGGCTGGAATGACTCCAGGTGAGGGGGAAACAGGAGGCCGCAGAGAGGAAAGCCGGCTCCGCGTCGTGGCGACGCACACAGCTCGGGTTTGGTCTCCCGTTTTCTCCCGGGGTCAGATCTTCTGTCCGGGCCCCAGGCCTGCTCCCTTCATCCCTTCTCCACGCCCCCACACCATATTTTTCAGATCCCACGGGAGTAGGGCCAGTCCCCTTTACTCTGTAGGACATGTCTTGGAAAATCTGAGAGACAGGCCGTAAAACTCTAGGAGCAGGCCAGGTATTCGTCATTGGCCTAGGTTCCCCTCCCTTTCCTCCACTGCGATGCCCCCCCAGGTTCCGTTATGGGACTTCAGCCTCGAATTTTCCCTTCCCAGAACCTTTTGGGTTTCCCGCTTGTGTAAAAGCTGTTCCTCTACTCATCCCTCTTCTGGACACTGAGGTGTTTCTGTCATAACCACATGCCAACCTAACCCCATCTCGATAGCCGAGCTGTCCCTCCCTATAGGATGTGGCCTGGGGGGAGGGGTAGGAGGACACTAGAAACAGCTTCAGAGTCACGCGCCTGCCCCGAGTACCAGTACAGAAACAGATTAGGAAGGCCCTACACCCCACGCTCTCTAACAGCAGCAACATAACCTTCCCAAGACCAACTGATCCCTACCCAACAGGAAGAAACAGGGGCTGGGTGAGGTCGGGGGCTGGCGACTCAGAGAGGACTGAGGGGAGGGCTTAGCATAAAGGAAAACGGTTTAGCTGGGAGATTTCTTAAGGTGCCCCTTGGCTGGGCTGGGTAGGGATTAGCTTAGAGTGGAGGGTATCCGTATCCCCAGAGGCAGAGTCCTCCCCCATAGGGGACAGCGGGATCTCCTTAGCAAAGTCCTTGGCATCGACAACTACTGTGACTCTCTCAGGCCCATCAGTGGGTGGGCAGATGGTCAAGGGCTTTTTACCACAAGACCACAGGCAGAAGAAAGGCCGAAGGGGACCAGAGAAGGAGGCATTGGAGAAAGTATAGATATGGGCTCCGTTGGCCATATTGTAGAAGGAGACGTCTCCTGATTCATAGTCCAGGAAAATCCCAACCCGGCGGGGAGGCCCTGCCAATGGGAGAGGGGTCCGCTGTGGGGTGAGGGCCCAGTACCCATTCCCATACAACTCCACAGCCCAGAACCCATTCTGAGGAGTCATGGGGTCAAACCCTTTCTTCACCACATTCTCCCTACACACCCCGACCGCCCAGTCGGCCCTGTCTCCCACCTCCACCTCCCAGAAATGTCGCCCTGACGTGAAGGTCTCACGACCCAACACACAAGGCCAGGAGTCAAATCTCTCTGGTTTCTCGGGCAGTTTCTGGCGTGAATCTTCCAGCCGGACAGATTTTGAATCCTCGTACAAAAAGAGGTGGGGATGGGCGGTGTCTGGATCCAGAGTCACGTCAACTAGAGACGGAGAGAGAGCTGGTCTGAGCATCAGTGAGCATTAGAGGTGACAAGACATAGTCTTTCTTCTCAAAAAAAAAAAAAAATTATATATATATACACATATATATATACATATGTATATGTGTATATATATACATATGTATATATATATGTGTATATATATATATATGTATGTATATATGTGTGTGTGTGTATATATATATATAGGGGCGCCTGGGTGGCTCAGTCGGTTGGACGGCTGACTACAGCTCAGGTCATGATCTCACAGTCTGTGAGTTCGAGCCTCACGTCGGGCTCTGTCCTGAGGGCTCAGAGCCCGGAGCCTGTTTCCGATTCTGTGTCTCCCTCTCTCTCTGCCCCTTTCCTGCTTGCTCTCTGTCTCTCTCTGTCTCTCAAAAATAATAAACAATAAAAAAATTAAAAATATCTATCTATCTATCTATCTATCTATCTAGACTGTTCTAGACTTTGGTAGGTCTCCTCGGGAGGAGAGGTGCTTGGCCTATTCTGCTGTCTCTATTTTCCTCTTCCGTCAAAAGCCACAAGGTGATGTGTGAGTTGACTGTCCCCAGGGCCTCAGGGGCGCCTGTTACAGGGCTTGTCTTCGAAACATCTTCCAAGGGCCCTCTCTGTGCCTCGAGGAAAATGTGAGACCCGTTTACATCATCTTTCCCCTATCTATCTTCATCACGAAACTGTTAGTGTTTTTATGTCCAAGTATTATAGGACTTTGAATCCCTGGGTGATAGAGCCTCAGAGCCCTTGAGAAGCTCAGTCACTCACCTGCATGCAGGGTGGCCTTTTTCTGTTCTGCAATGAAAGAGAACGAGATGGTCATTGACGGGTTTCTAATAAGAGAGGGGACACGTTGTCGGTGAACTAACGACAAGAAGAGAGAACTTACTGAGCTCTTCCAGGAGTTTCTCTGGAAAACAAACAGAAATACCTTAATGACAAAGGAATAAATGGTTCATCTCTACCTGATTACTGAAGCTTTATCAATAAATGAGGAACAAGGATTATGGTTTATTTATTTATTTTATGTTTCTAAGAAATGTGCAGGAAGTTCCTACTGGCTTGGGATCAGATCTTTAATCTTTACTGGGAAACCGAGTTAGAAGTGAGGAGAGAGTCTGAGGGTGGGTAGTGAGTGCACATCAGGTCTAATATCTCAGTTTGCATTGGCTTTGACTCCTTCTGCACCCCAGACCTTCGTATTGGGGATCAGCGGCTTCAGGTGCCTTATAACGACCCCCCATCTTGACTTCCAGAATTCTAGACCCAAATATCTTCTGAAAGGACTTGGGTCCACCCCCACTCGTAAGCACTCCTGACAAGCGGCCTGTGACTCACCTTTAGAGCTGAATTCATCCTTTCTCTGTCGGGCTCTTTCCCTGTATAGTCTCCAAGTGCCAAATACGGACCCAATTGTAAGAAGTCCCAGGACCATCAAGATGACAGCCACTGCCACCATCCAGGGAGTCAGCCGTGGGAAGAAGGGAGCTGAAACGAAATCCCCAAGAAGGACATTTGTCGTGCGGCTCTGAGCAAGTCTGCCTCTGCTCCCGATCGCAAAGGGGGCTGCAAGAGAGGACGACCTAGACCTCCCCCGTTCCTCCCACGGCAAAAAGGAGTCCTTCCAGTGCTGCTCTAAGCTTTTCAGAAAAATTTTGATCTCAGGTAGGGGAGGGCAGTGAAAGAGAGGAAGGAGCAGGATGGGAGCCAAGGGGATGCAGGAAGTAAATAAGGAAGGGGACATGTCACCTCTGTGTGCCACAGAAAGGGACTCAATGACCAAAGAATAAGGAAAGGTCCTTGCCTGAGCCAGAGATGGTTGGGGTGGGGGGAAGGGTGATGAGAAGATCTGCTTTCCTGAGGGCCCTCGAAACCTAGACAGAGCTCTAGCATGGGAGGGGGGAGGCCAAGGGGCAAGGGTGGAAATGGGTTTTCCTGTTACTCAAGGAGAGAACGCTCTGGATTAGGAAGGCCCCCAAGGACAGATCTTCTGTATCTAAGATATATCTCCTAAAATGGAAAATCTGGGATTTCAATGAGATCCAGGGAGGGTTGATGTGTTCAGAATCCCTATTCTTCTGATGACGTTGGTGGGGCTCCCTCACGTCGGGGATCAGGAGCTTAGGTGGGGAGAAAGTAGACAACTGTGTCATGAGGGCATGGCTTGGGCAGGTGCCCTAGGTGACGTGGCCCTAAAACTGTCACACAGGAACCCAACGCTGATTTCACTGACCTGGTATGGAGATCTCTACTTCCTTCTCCTGGCCCAGAAGGAGGTTCTGGAAATGGCAGGATATATTCTTCATGGAGGTGTCCCTGATGATCACGGAAGCCGCCACAGTGAACAGGCCTTCTTCATCAGGATTCCTAGACTCTGATGTGGATGGAAACCACTCTCCCTCGGAAGTCCTCCACTGCACCTGGGGCTCTGGGTACCATCCTACGGAGGTACACTCCAGCCGGATCTCTCCACTTTCTTGAACTTCCATATGGATTTGAGGATCAGAGCCCAGAGCTACGGAGAGAGAAGCTGGCCTCACTCCTTTAGTGGACACCCTTCTGGGAACCTTATAACCACAGGGTTACACAGTCTGAGAAAGAAAGGCACACGGAGACTAGGAATGAGAGGGATTCATGTTCTGTTTCATGACACGAGGAAACCACGAGGAAACTGAGGCGTCAGTAAAAGGAACCTTATCAGAGAGGGATGCCATATTGGGATTTAGTGTTTGAAATGTAAGCAGGAGTGTGATGGACAGACATAGGAACATAGTCAGCAGGAACAGCAAGACCAATGGCTTAGAGGCAGGTTAGGGAGCTCCAGAGATGGGAGAGGGCTTTGTGGTTGGATGTGAGAAGACTTTGAGGAGGAGAACCAGGAGTGGGTATTTAACAGAGAAGATGTGAACAGAGAAGAAGTGTCCCTGAGGAGAAGGGGGATTGGAGGTTCCCTGCATTAAGATCGTAGCTGACAATTTAAGTTTCCCTTCCGTGTGATACTGATTCAGGAATTTTCTTAAATGGTTTCAACCTCCTTGCCCCAGTGTCCTAACATATATCAACATAAAGCTGTTCTTACCCTTTCTGTTTTCAGCCTAATTATATTCTTACAATTCTGCAGAGTGTAGAAAAACACCAAGCTGCAGAGGAGAGTCCTTAAACACCTGTCCACAGCTCTTAGTTTAAATCCACGTTTCGATTTGTGTGTATATGTGAAAATGCGTATTCTTTTCATGAAAAGGGCTGCCTGCCACCTTGAGGAGATTCTCAAAGATGTCTATCACTTTAAAAGAGTAACAGTAACAGTTTCATGTATACGCTGTCTCACTTTATTTCATTCTTGCCAAATCTTGTTTGACAGATGCATTGCCCAGTTTTATAGCAGGAAATAAGGCTCAGAAAGAGATTAGTTTGATGGCATTCCAAGTAAGCGGGAAAGTCAGACCTCAACGCATACTTTCCTCCTGAATGCTTGCCATTCTCCTTAGTTTGAAATTTGGCTTGAAGCAGAGAAGGGAAACAAAACCCAAAAACTTTTCTAGGTGGATCGACAATGTTAGCGAGCAGCCACCTCTAGGATCCTGGGAAGCCCGTCCCTAGGCACGAATCCACGCGGCAGCCTCAGGTTGCAACGGAAACGCGCGGCACAGCGTCCCTCACCGGAGTGGTGACAAGCAGACACAACCTGAATGTTGGGGCCTGGGGCTGGATCGAGCATATTCCGGCGCGCTAACTAGAGAGGATGTGGTGTAGCCTCGCAATCACAACATGGGGCCATCTCTCCAACGCCTTCCCGCTGACCTCCCACCCTCGGCCCGCCAGCCTTTTCCGCCCTAGAAGGGATTTCTCGGGACGACGAACGCGGTGGCTTCCAAAGCAAGGGAGCCGCGGGAAAACGGACGGCGCCCGGAAGTCACCGGAGAGGGTCGAACCCGCGCACTCACCGGCCACCTTCAGGTGCACGCTGGCCTCCCCGTAGCGTCCGTCCTGCCGGAAGAGGCACCGGTACTCGCCGTCGTCCGAGGCCCGGACCCGGTGTATGCGCACGGCGACGCGCCCGGCCGCGATGTCGCCGTCCAGCAGCGTGGCCCTGCCGCGGTACTCGGCCGTCTGCTCGGCCTCCCGCTCGCGGCCGTCCCGGCGCACCAGCACCGCGGCCGCCACCTTCCCGCGGAACCACCGCAGCTCCATGCGCTCGGCGCTCACGCTCGGGGACAGGCGGCAGGGCAGCTCGGCGTCGTCCCCCAGCGCGGCCAGGACGGGCTCCGCGGGGCCGATCACGTCGAAGGGGGCTGCGCAAACCGGGCGTGCGGGGGGGGGGGGGGCCGAGGACTCACACGGACGGAGGGCCGTCTGCTCCACCCGGATCCCGGTCGAGGTCGGGGCGGGGAACCCCAGGGGGCCAGAGACGGAGCGCGCGGGGGGGGGGGGGGGGGGGGGGGGACCTACCCGAATCGGGCCTGGACAGCTGGAAGAAAGTGAGGACGAGCAGGCACGCGGGGAGGCAGCAGTTTGGAAAAACTGCCATGTCCAACCTTCCTGGGGCAGCAGGTCACCGGGTGTCCTGCGGGCGTCAGAACTTGCGCCTGGGAGATGCAGGCCGGGCGATGGATCTTTCGACGCCCTTCTCCGGCCTCCTCCCCACCGCTCTTTCCACGCGGATCCGCCCGCTCGCCCCCTCCCACCGCAGACTCCCGGTGCCAGCGCACACCGCCCCGTGTGGCCGAGCAGGTGCACAGCCGAATAGGCCCTAAACCCCTAAAAGAATCCTAGGAGAAGGGAATTGGGAGGCATGGTACCCATTAATGGGTTGCGTACCAATGTACCGCTGCTCTAAAAAGCCCTCCCCCCCATACAGTAATTTGGTATTTGTTTCAGGAATGATAATAAAGATGAAGCGATGGAGGCAGAGATGGAAACCAGGGGACTGAACCGGAGGAGAGAAGAGGAAAGTCGGGGAAAGGGAGGGGAGCTGGAGAGTAAAGGGCAGGGGGTAGAGGGCCCAGGACCCGGGAAAGAGCCAGAGGGAGAGAAAGTGCTCTCGTGGGGGGGGGGGGGAACCAGAGCGGGCACAGCACTGACCTCTGATCTTGGAGGAAGAGGCACCCAGGAGCCTGGTTAGCAAGTGACCAAGCTGGCTGTGGCCCCAGGAGCCAAAGTTAAAGGCGGGGAAGAAGGAAGCGGGAAGTGATCTCAGGAAAGCCTGCCCCCAGCTCCCAGGCCTTGGCTCTGGGGGGTGGGGTGGGGAGGGGAAGTTTTCCAGAGAGACGAAGGGTCCGTGTCTTTGCAGTCTTCAGCTCAAAGACCAGGATACAGAAGGATGGGCTGGACTAAATAAAAGGGGATAGGGCAAAAAGGGAGGGTCAAGACAACACTAAAATGAAATGGAAGGCGTTGGGCTGGTGAATTTTCCCCCTCAAGCCTCACTTCTTTTATCCTGAAGTTGGGGAGGCACTGGGAGCATTAATGAGATTAAGCCTGTCAAGTGATGGTAAGGACTGAGAAGACGGGAAGTTGTTACTCTGTTGTTTATGTGGGTTGAAAGTTCAAGGGTAGACTGGGAATGCACGTGTGTGATTCAGTTTTCACCGCCTCAAAGTTGCCTTCCTGCAAGCAATTCGGCCTGCAATTCCTTATTTTGGGGTTAAACCTCTTATTGTCATGAAAAAAAAATTAAAAACATGGGAAAACATTTTTTTAGTTATTTTTTTTAAGATTTTATTTTTAAGTAATCTCTGTACCCAATGTGGGACTCAAACTTACAACCCCAAGATCAAGGCTCTCCTGCTCCACTGACTGAGCCAGCCAGGCACCTCTGGAAAACACTTTTACAAAGCAGAAATCACTCATAATGTCACCAACCAATGACAGCCTCTGTTCACATTGTGGCAGAATTGATGAAGCTTTTACATAATCAGAAACATTATTTATACTTACATAATATCATATTGTAGGTTCCTGTAATTCCCAAGATTGTGGGACATCTTAGTGGCTTTTTTTTTTTTAATCTACTATAACTAGTGTACTTTATAAATACATAAATCTTTGTCCACATCTTTGATACTTCCTGACAAACTTTCTGATAAATTCCCAGAAAGATAGTCATCGGGTCTAGGAGTTGAATTCTGAGCATATTGCCAAAGTTAAACCTATCACACTGTTAATGGGAATGAGCCTCTCACCTAATTCCTGCCAACACTGAGAACAATTATTCCCTAGTCATCACTAATGGGATGGGTGAAATAGATCAAATTATTATTTTACTAGACATTTATAGGACAGCGAGGCTGATCACTTTTCATATTAACTATTTAATATACTCTGGAAGAGATTTTTCCAGGCAAATTGCCCCCCCCCCCAGACATTCTGATGCTGTTTCCTATTCTTCCATATGAATTTTTTATAAATTAAAGCTGTCAATCCTGTATTAATATTGGTGGCTCATATCCTTCACCACCCCAGTTTGTACTCTGCCTTTATTTCAGGTTATGATTAAGACCAACAAAAGAGGGGCACCTGGGTGGCTCGGTGGGTTGAGCCTCTGACTTCGGCTGAGGTCATGATCTCAGGGTTCATGAGCCAGACCCGACCCGCAGACCCGCATCGGGCTTGAAGCTGTGAGTGCGGAGCCCGCTTCCAATCCTTTGTCCCCGGCCTCTCCGCCCCTCCCCCACCTACAGGCTATCTCAAAAATAAACATTAAAAAAGAAAAAAACGACCAACAAAAAATAATTGCTCCGGTTGACTTACAAGACTGCTAGAATGGCTTTTACCAAATGGAAATCTGATCATGTCGCTTCTTGCTTCAAAATCCCTACATGTCTCCTTAGTGGCCCCAGCACCAAATTCAGACACTTAATCTGGTCAAGAAAATGTAGGATCTAGTTGTCTCCCTGATTCCTTCCTCTCGGCCTCTTCTCCCTCCCCTCCGATGGCCTATCCACCTCTCGAAGAATTTGGAAGATGGGGTAACCTCAGCCCACAGCACCTTTCCAGGCCTCCAGGTTCCGGTGCTGTCTCCCCGCTTCCTACAGCATCTGCAGGACAAAGTCCTGCTCCTCCCTCAGAAGCTCATTTAAGGGCAACTTCTTCCAGAAGCAAGCAGGTGCACCCTCTCTTCTAGAGCTGCTCCTTTGTTCCCTGGGCCGGACCTCACTGTGGTCCCAGCCGAGCACCCTAACCAGAGGGGCTTCAGGAAGGAGCTCCCAGCGCTGCCCAACTCAAGTGAGAAAGTCTTGGGTCTTACCCATAAGTTTGGGGTAAATCACATCATTTTACTTCATTATATACGAGATTTGTTTAAATATGACTCTGGATAACCTAGGCCCCCTCCAAGCAAAACCGAGTCTCCAGGACATGGGCCTGGTTTATCCTGTGACACAGAAAACTTCCTGGTCGTCTCTGCTGGCACACAGCTGACCTGAGTCCTACTTTGACAGGCACGTGTGTTTAGTTTTGTCTTTTGTTTCCAAGTCTACCTTCCTCTCCTAAACTGAGCTCCCCTTCAAGTTCTTACTCTCTGACTTCTCATCAGCACAAAAGCCAACATAGAATCTGCAGCTGAAATCAAACTAACTGGCCATTGGCCTTCCTTGTTTGAAATGCTCCTGTCTCATTCTCAACTCCCCTTTGTGTTTAACTTCTGAAAAATGTCATCTATAATGGGTTTCCTCTCCTCAACACGCTATGACTAGACTCCTGACCCCTGCTCTACGTTGTCAAAAAAATCTCACAGGGAATTTTGGGAGGGAAAGAAAAAAAGAAGAGCTTTTTCCTGCACCCAAGGGAGCTACACGGAACAAGGAAGGGGCCAGGGAGATAGAAAGCAATGGTATCTAGAACTCAAGCTATGTGGCAGCCCCAGTTTTGACCGGGTAACATCTGAGTCACTTCTACATAAAGGAGCACCTTGGGTCATCCCAGGCAAGATGTCTGAGTCAAGGCTCACTCTGGGAACAGAGATGCTAGGCGCCCCTGTCTCTCCAGGCTCGCGTTGTTTGTGAGATGCCTGAACCATGCGGGGCTGCTATGGGGAAGGTCCTGCCACGCCCAGGGCCACTGGAGACCCGAAACAGACTTTTCCCTCTGAGATGCGAAGATCGTTTGGGCCGAGGCATGTGACCCGCTCCCTATGGAGTGAATCTCATGGCCAAAGGTCAGGACTTATCTCTTCGGCCCTTTCCCACCACTGCTCAGATTTCCCAGTGTCCTAGACTAGTCAGAGCCAGGGATTACTCTCATCCTCGTTCTACGTGACCTTCACCAGCACTTGACTGAGGCAACCACTTGCCCCTTCTGTCTCTCTTTTAAGTTTATTTATTTATTGTCTTAAGTAAGCTCTACATCCAGCATGGAACTCAAACTCCCAGCCCCGGGATTAAGAGTCGCATGCTCTTCCCACTGAGCCAGCCAGGTGTCCTGCTTCTCTTTCTAAAACTAGTTTATTTTTCATTTTTTAGAGGAGCAAGTGAGCGGGCGAGAGGGGCAGGGAGAGAATCTCGAGCAGGCCCCATGCTCAGCACGCAGCCCGGCGAGAGGCTTGAGCCCATGACCCCGGGATCATGACCTGGGAGTCAGAGTAAAGCAGGTTTCCCTCAACAACGTGGACGGGCATCACCCAATCCATTGAGGGCTGAGTCGAACAAAGACGGAGGAAGCGTGTTTGCTCTCTGCTTGAGCTGGGATGTCCAGCTGTCCCTTCCCTCAGACGCTGGCTCCCTGGTGCTCAGACCTCGGGGTTTGGAGCACTCTTCCAGGGGCTCCAGCTTGTGGGGGGCAGAGCCTGGGGCTTCTCTGCCTCCACAGTCACATGAACTGGTCCCTCGTAACACATCTTCTTCTAGATGTCTGTATCTACCCTGTTGGGTCTGCTTCTCTGGAGAACCCTGATACAGTTCTTTTACATCACCACTACAGATAGGTCACTTCTCTTCACTCTTTCCAACTCCATGGTTATGTAGCCGTAATCTTATGGAAGGGCCAACACAGTTAGAAGCAAAGAGTCCCAGAGAAATGAAGATCCGCTGATGTGCGTACCATTGCGCTCTTTGCGTTCTGCAGTAACAGGGAGGTTTTATGGTTTTATAAGAGATGCAAAGCCTTATTGATGGAACCATGTGGGAGAACCCCAGAATTCTCCAAGCTCTTGTAGGAATTTCTTTGGAAAATAAATAGAACTAAAGCAATTGAGATTTGAGTTAAGACGTGGGAAGGAGGAGGGAATGTGCTTGAGAATCACACAGTGGAGTGACTGTTCCCTTCTGTGAATACTTGATTACCGAAAAACTATCAATACGTCGCAAACAAGGAATGCTTTTTGTTGCAGTTTATGTTCTTAGAAATCTGCAGGAAGTTCCTTTTGGCTTCACTTGCTAAGAGAGGTTGCTGTATCTAGGGAACTTAAGTGAAAAGTCTGCAGCCAAGTTTGGGATGGATGGGTAGGAGGGCTGGGAGACCGATGGGGGCTCTGCCCTGTCCGTGGCCACGCTGGAGCCCAGCAGCCGAGGCGGACCTGTGGCCACACCCAGTTAAATTTGATGGTACCTGTTACCGCAGCACAGATCTCACATACTGTGGGGAGGCCGGGAGCTGGGGTGTCTCAGTGAGAGGGGTGGGAGGGATTTATAGGATTTCAGTTTGTGGTGGGGGTTTGGGAGAGGGTCAAAGAGGGAAGGGTTGCTCTGGATGAATGCCGCTGGAAATCGGGGGACTGGTGGCAGGACTGAATATTCTGATGTTTATTAGGACATGGAGGAACAGAGTGGGCTGAAATTGTAATGGGTAAAGAAGCGGTTAGCTGAGACGGGGACGTGTGGTCGTTCTTGTGGTTTGCCTGTGGTGTTGCATTTGTGTCTGCATGCCGAACATGATTACACAGGGGGCTTGTCTCACTCCGTCACAATCCCGGAGTGGTCTTGTCCGTTCTGGGAAGCAGCTGTCGTACCTGATTTTGCTTTCTCAGAGCCCACATTCTCCTTCAGATCTAACGGTATTTGGGGTTTTATTTATTTATGTATTATTTAATGTATTTGGGGTTTTATAACCTTTAGAATCCCTTCCAATGTTACATATGTATGTATTTTGAGAGAGAGAGAGAGAGAGCCAGCAGAGGAGAGGCAGACAGAGAGGGAGACAGAATCCCAAGCAGGCTCTGTGCACAGAGCCCAAGGCAGGGCGCAAACTCACGAACCACAAGACCATGACCTGAGCCGAAATCAACAGCCCGACATTTAACCTTAACCGACCGAGCCACCCAGGCACCCCCCTCCCTCCCAATTAAAAGAAAGTTTCTTGGGGCGCCTGGGTGGCGCAGTCGGTTAAGCGTCCGACTTCAGCCAGGTCACGATCTCGCGGTCCGTGAGTTCAAGCCCCGCATCAGGCTCTGGGCTGATGGCTCAGAGCCTGGAGCCTGTTTCCGATTCTGTGTCTCCCTCTCTTTCTGCCCCTCCCCCGTTCATGCTCTGTCTCTCTCTGTCCCCCCCCCCAAAAAAAAAGTTTCTTTATCTATTTAAGTAACTGCTACACCGAATGTGGGGCTCAAACTCACAACCCCAAGAACAAGAGTCACCTGCTGCTCTAGCTGAGCTCCCCAGGGACCCTGAATCCCTTCCAATTTTGAAAAGCCTAGAATCATAGTTCTAGACTCTAGACGGGGATTACTTTTGACTAGAAGTCATCTTAAAAGGTTATGGAATTCAAGCATGTCTAAGGTTTAAATGCCCACAAGGCACAAACACCCTGCTGAGCTGCCTCATCTGGTGAACTATACAGGAATCAACCTCAGCCTCCCCCTCTGGGTGCCTCCCACGCCATTTCATTTCCAAAATAATATTCCCCAAATGAGAAGTCTCAGGCATGTGATGACCACTGAGCAGAGAATCAGTTTTAGACGTAAGGGAGGAAAAAAAAAAAGGCCCTAGACATTTTAATGATGAAAACTAGAATAGGCCACCCAAAATACACTGTTTTGTCACAGAAATTATTTTGAGCTGAAGGCAATTCTAGAAGGGGCCAACAAAGATTTCAGTAGAATTTTAGTCCTGAACACTGTGGGGAAAATGCATTTTCTTCAGAATTATCCATTATGTGCATTTAAATTCTGCCAGGAAAAAAAAAAAAAACAAACTATTTTGTTTTAAACTACTTTTTTTAACATTTATTTATTTTTGAGACAGAGAGAGACAGAGCATGAACGGGGGAGGGTCAGAGAGAGAGGGAAACACAGAATCCGAAACAGGCTCCAGGCTCTGAGCTGTCAGCACAGAGCCCGATGCGGGGCTCGAACTCACGAACTGTGAGATCATGACCTGAGCTGAAGTCGGACGCCCAACCGACTGAGCCACCCAGGCGCCCCTTAAACTACTTTTTGTATTTAGTAGCTTTTTGTATAAATTAAACAAAAGGTTTTTGAGTCAGGGGAAAAAAAAAAAGGCAGCCAACACAGGAAAAGTTCTTTACTTTCCCCCTGTTTTGCCTAAAGGCAAGATATAAATTATTTTACTGGAGACTGGCATTTACCAGCCCAGAGAGGAACCAGGAGAATCTCCAAAGCAACCATTCTCCATTACTTTTCTCCCTTATTAGTACCTTCCCAGCTTGTTGGCCTTGGGGCCTAAAATTGTTTTCCTTTGTCCTATCACCTCTGCAAATGTACTCTCCTTTATTGAAGATGGAAAATAAGTTGGGATTTTGTTACCATCGTGAGTTTGTTTTCATTTAGGTTTCCCTTGTGATGTGCACTGTGTGAGTGAACTGTTTTTCTCTTGTTAGTGTTTTCGTTAAGAGTCCTAGCCAAAAACCTAAGATGGGAAGAGGTAAAGTTTTGCCTCCCCTACAATGATATAGAGACAAAGGGCAGGTATCACTCTGGCAATATTGATGATCTTAATTAAATAAGTTACCTAGGAAATAGTGCAAGGACACTCACACCCTCCTCCGTCCCGCTGAAAGCAGGTAGCAAATCTCCCATATGAAAAACACCCTCCCTAACAAGTAAACAAGTAAAAAGACATCCACATCACCAGGGACCGGGACTTGAGAAAGCCAAGAAAGAGGAACCGGCGGGACTGTTCTGGACCCCAGGGTTCTCCAGCTCTCCGCAAAAACAGAAATTGACACGACGCCAAGAAAAGGTTCAGGCAGCGTTTATTGGGGGCCTATGCTCCAGACCAGAGAGACGGCGGCGGAACAAACGTCCCAGCCGGCTCCCGGCACAAAGGCCGGCAAAGCCCGCAAGGGGGCTGAAGCCGCGAAGGAGGGACATCTCAGCAGGTGGAGGTGGAGACAAAGGAGGTTGGGGCGCAGGCGCAGTGGACAGAACATGCTTCCGCAGCACGTGTCTTATTAGCATGTTAAGTATCCACCCACGGCCGGGATTATTGGTATTCTAACGACGAAAAAAGTAGGTGAGGGTCCGTGCTGGGGTCCATCTTGGCACAGGCTTGGTTTAGTTTGGTTTCTTCATTTGAGTTCTTTCTGGAAAACATCCTGCCCCCGCATCCCTAGGAGATATAATGCTCAAAAGCATGTAGCTCTCAGCCTTTTCTCCTAAGGTGACAAAAGCACAGAGCAAAGTGCATTGTGGTTAGGGCGGGGAGGGGGGGAGGTCCCAGACACAGCCCCTGGTCTACCTCACCCCTCCCCACCTCCACCGGAGAGATTTTACCCTCCTTATTCCTAAGGAGGAGGGGCCGAAGGTCTCATCTTCTGAAACTGCTTCTTGCTGAGCGGGGCGTCGTCCCTGTCCTACCAGGAGGAGTAAAACTCTCCCGCTGACTGCTCTAACGACCTGTAAGGACCTTGGTCCTCTTGGGGCTGGATAGGTGGGGCCCTTGTGCCACTATCTGTTTGACAAGAAACTGCTGTCCTCTAGAAGACTCAAACTTAACCAAAAGATTAAGGAGGCAGGGTCTGAATAGTAACAGAAGAATTTTTTTGCCACAAGAGGGCCCAGGAAAGAACGGAATCAGGCAATGTTAGGCATACAACCTCTGAGTCCTATATAGTTTGGGCATTGGGGCTCTTGAACCCATGCAACGATCTGGCTTGTCTGTAAATCTCCTGGGTATTTAGTTCGACCTCCCCAGAGGCGTTGATGTACGTGCAGCACGTGTCGTTGACTACCGCACAGACACCCCCTTGTGTGGCCAGAAGATAATCTACAGCTAACCTATTGTCAAGGGAATCTAGGGACTCCTGGAGGCCCTCTGAGGTGTCGCCAGCGCTTGAGGCCAGGTTTTCGATGACCTGGGTAAGGCTTTTTAAGGTCGTCTCATGAGAGGCAATCCCCCCCCGGGGGGCAGCCGGTCCCGTGGCTTCTCCAGCTGCCGCCAAGATAAGCCCGAGTGCTCTCTTACGTCTGCCTTGAGAGGTGACGTTATATATAGTGGCGCCTAATCCTTCTGGGCCCAGTCGTCCCACAGTGCATTGTCCCCGGAAGTGGACATTATCTAAACACGCGTAGGCCACTGCCCGAAGA